CACACGCACGCACGCACACACACACACACACACACACACACACACACACACACACACACACACACACACACACGCACACACACACACGCACACAGTCACACACAGTCACACACACGCACACACACGCACACCATGATGAGAAACAACCTGAAACTGAAACTGAGGCATGCGATGAACTTTTGCAGCCTGTTAACTATCGTAGCTCACACGTACCGTTTTAAAGTGCTTCCCTGGGACATCCTAGATTCCTATTCTTTGCCCGTGCCCTCGGTGAATTGTACACGAAGCAAACTCTGAATGAGAATGACGATAAAAGATAGAGCGCAACAGCTCTGATCACAAGCTGCAATTGCAGACTGCTGAGCGCTCACAACTTTCGGTGACGTAATCACGCGCCACCGTAAAATCAAGATTTACCTGCTTTATTTTATTTTTTAAATATTTTTTTGGGTGAAAATAAGACTGATAGGATGATTACTGTGCAGCGTAAATTAACACAAAAAATATATTACTAACATGTACAAAGACACACAAATGGTTGGTTGTTTTTTTTCTCCTCGACACTCCTCGGATCTACTTGGGACCTGTCTTAGATCTACCGGTAGATCAGGATCGACGTAATGGGCACCCCTGCGTCTACATCACTGACATTTACTGGAATTTTTACAAACGAATTTTAATAGGGCATGTGGCAAAGGAAGTGACGTACTCCCGTGACAGCTTCTTCCGGTCTCTTTTCGTTGAGGCTCAGCTAGCGGCTGGTAGGTACACATTTTGTCCAGCTTTTACTTCTCCTGTTAAGTTGTCGAAATACACATTATTCGTCCAAAAACCACATCTTGTTCGTTTTATCACGCCGTGACCGTAGTCTGGATCGTGACAAAATAAAATCTACATCACTAAAGACTTGTCGTTGGAACAGTTTTCACGCTAGCAGTCAGCATGTGGCGAGGCCCCTGCTCTCATTTAGCACAACGAGCTTTGGCCCGACGTTAGCTTTAGCTGACTATGCTACAAACTTCAAGTCGGTCCACGCCGTCTTTGTCATAAAGCTTTCGACTGTGTCATAAAAAACGCGGACTAACGATGACAAAGATACGTGTTTGGATCGCCAACCGCGTGTGTTAGTTTAAGCTGCCGCAGCCGAGAGGTTGGAGGTTCAAGCTGCTCCGCTCCAAACTCGGCGCTAAACTCCCTTCTCACTTGTGACACTCCTCAGCCTGCCAACATGCAGATCTTCGTGAAGACATTGACGGGCAAGACCATCACCCTCGAGGTCGAGCCAAGCGACACCATCGAAAATGTCAAGGCAAAGATCCAAGACAAAGAAGGTGAGCACCTATCGGTGAAGAAATATTCAGCAGAGACTTTTAAATCCTACTAACTCAGAAAACAATCGCCTGATACTGATAAAACGTTTTCCACAAACGTGATTTGTGTATTCATTTTCCCCCTGTATGTGTTCTAATGAATTAAATGTGTGTAGGAATCCCCCCTGATCAGCAGCGTCTGATCTTCGCTGGCAAACAGTTGGAGGATGGACGCACTCTGTCTGATTACAACATTCAGAAAGGTAACACTTTGTAGACCCAATACCTGAGGAACGATCCATCTGCCTCACGCAAAAGCTGTGTTTTTGATTGCAATTTATTTCTAACTGTCCTCCAATAGAATCCACTCTTCATCTGGTGCTCCGTCTGCGTGGCGGCATCATTGAGCCTTCCCTCAGACAACTGGCTCAGAAGTACAACTGTGACAAGATGATCTGCCGCAAGTAAGTTGTGAAAAATCCCTTTTCACCCCTGCAATCATTTCCCATTGCTTAATTTAACTTGGGTTCGATTTAACAAGCTCGATTCCACGCAAATACATCTGACTCTTGCTGTGTTGTTTCTCAGGTGCTATGCCCGTTTGCACCCACGTGCTGTCAACTGCCGTAAGAAGAAGTGTGGACACACCAACAACCTTCGCCCCAAGAAGAAGCTGAAGTAGACATTTTTACTGTGTCAGCTGTGCACGTCACATTGTGTTAAATAAATTTAAGAAAACTCCACTGGTTGCTGTAATTCATTAGTGAATCTCTTCAATTAATCTCATGGTTTCTTAGATGGCAATAAGTTGTCTGAAAATAATCCTAGAGCGATATTAACCTTGACAAAAGGTTTGAAAGATGTCAGATATCTGATTTTCATTTGCTAACTGGATGATTTGGGCAGCTTTGGAAAGCTGTAACAGTCTGTCATTCAGGTTCAAAGCCATTTAACGACGTCAGTGCTATGAAGCCTTTACTGACTGCTCACCTTCAGTCACTAACGTAGATGAAAATATCTCATGACGTGTTGGCTGACGTCACTGGAAGACACCGATCTGCCTTTCGTATAAAACTAGTCTTTTGCATATGTACAAAATGCACATTGTAACTAACAGACAGCAGCTCTGTGTTAGAGTATCAACAAATCAGGGATAGAAAGTTAAATTCAGTATGCCCATTTTAATACTGTAAATGCAAATGACAGTGGGAAATGACATGTCAAAGGATACATTTTAATTGAAGAGTTCAAATATAAGCAATTCAAACTCACATACCAACATATTCAAATTGTCATGAGAAATGAGCATTGTGACCCTAATAGGCCACATTTCCCTATGTGTTTTTATTTTTTAAATCTACCAACACTTAGTAACATAACGAGTTGTACGTACAGATAAAGCTCAAATAAACTGAATAATGCAGTTACAAGAGAATAGTGTCCTTTATTATGATGGCATGTTAATCCTAGTTTAGGTAGTAACACTTGGTTTTGTATTGTTTGACAACAGATGTTTCAGATGTCTTACTGCAGTCTGTAAAAAGCAAAAAATTACTGTAGCATTTCTCATTTCTGGCCTTGCTACCAGTTTGTTGCAACAGCATGAATTCACTGGAGTAAAATATGAGGTGGAATCAACCTTGGGTGTATAGGAGCAAATTAACCTATGATATTAAATACTCGTGACAATGTGCAGAAGAATTCTGATGATGGTACTTATTTCATGTCAGCAGTCAAAAACAACCCTAATGCAGTATTCTGAACGTATAATACTTTGTTGTAATGCTTTAAAGAAGGTCACAAGTATAAATAATTGGTCCAAAAATCAATATATTTTTTTTTTTGCTTTTTATATAATTCTGAGATGAGGGTCAAATGTAGGAAAAACTTGCCTGTTTGAAGTAGTAAAGCCAGAAAGGCTTTTTGTGCTCTAAATTGTTTGGACAATGTGTGGTACTCAGGATGAGAAGCCATTCTGGTTTTTTTTGTTGTTTTTACTCATGAAAAAAATGCTGCAATAGACATCTTTTGTAATTATGCCAAAAACATGCATTGCTAAGATGAACAAAGCATTAAGATTTATTTTACCCCAAAATAATGAAAAACTAGTTACAAACACCAGAAACATTATTGCTAATATTCAAGAAGGCTTGCAAGTGGCAACTGAGGTCGGATGTAGCTGACCAGGCTAAAATCATAGTGGAACTTGTTCATGAGGCAGACGGCCATGAGATGTTACGAGTGATTATTCTGACCATTTGAGATAATGAAAGTTGAGCCCAAGTAATCAACTCCTCATCCATTAAACAGGTTAATTAATAATGCAATGTGGTGAAATTTTAGATTTTGACAACCCTGTTTCAATCACATGTAAAGCAAGTTAAATGCACCGTGAGCGGTGCCTATAGCCTGCACCTATTTGTACCCAAATTACATTAAAATGAGGAGATACAAAAATTATGCAATTTTACAAAGTTGAGAGGCAAGTCAGTCAAGTACCCATTTCGTAAACTACTGCAGCTGTGCTTGTTCTATCGATCAGTCACATGTGCACATATCCACAATTCATGAAGTTTCACATTACTTCATACTGCTGAGATCATGCAGTGTTCTAGGCTGAAAGGCTTTTATGCCCAAATCTTGTGAGGAGCGTGGGAAATAGTGTTAATGCACCACTGATGCGGAACTAGATCATTGCAATACTGATATTCTTACACAAAAGCAAACTTGGCACAAGCATTAATGATGTAAAACTGAGATTGGCATTGGGGTGCGAGACAGTGGAGAGTGGGGTAAAGCCGCCGTCTTTGTGCTTCAATTTTGCCGCATCGCTCTTGCTGCGAGTAACGCCATCGATCAACATGAATAATAGAGAAAATGGAGAGAAGAGCAGTTGAAACAAAGCGAGTGAATAATGCACATTGGTGTTCCACAGACAGATCAGGGTGCTCAGTGTGGGTCTGGCTGCTGGGAGTCCAGACCAGACTGCTGATGGTGAACTGTGGCTGACTTGAAATCAGGCCTTTTTATCTCCATTTGTCCCTTCCCTGACCTGCAGTGCAGTGCAGTGCAAACCGGGTGCATTTGCCACAGTCTAGGAGAATGACACCGGCAGTAATTCAGAAATCATGACTAAATGATGTCTTACAAACACAAATATGAACATCGTTGTCCAAGAAACCAAATATTGTGATAAGCCCAGAATGTCCTTAAAAAACAATCCCATGTTGTTGCTATAAATGTCTGGTTTGGCAAAAAGAACTGAATGATGACACTATAAGCAGTGGTTTGTTTTCTTCTTACGGTGCTTGTTTGTGGCCACTGTAAATTTGTCTGCCATGTTCCTATTGTAATATGAAGCATTTCATTGCTTCATTGTGCGCATTGTACCGATGAGAGGTTTCTTATGCACGCAATGATCTCACCAAGATCTACTGTAAACTGCAGTGTCTGACAAATACAAATGAGATCAGAGTAGTGGAGGAAATGTGCTTTGACTGCGGAGCTGCACACTGCCTGCAGTTGGGACTATTTATCAACAAGGTTTGCCAGACTTTGTCTCAAGTCGTTCAGGTCGCAAATTTTGACATCGAGGGCCTCGAGGAAATGCCGGACCTCCACCTCGGCTTTCTCCTGTTCTTCCCTGCTGGAGGACAGCGTCTTTTCGGTGCTCTTGATTTGACCCTCCAGCTCGGTGTTTCGTCTCTCAAGTTCCTGCAAAGAAATGGTCAAACTTTAATCGTAAATTCTTTCAATTTTTTGTTTGTGATTATCGAAATGGGCTGCACTACTCTCCTCTCTGAGCAGGATTATTCTGCTCAATACACCACTGCCATGGAAACAGGAGTTCAGAACATTCAGAGAGCTTCTTCCATCCACTTTCTATAATTGTTGTCTTCATTAGGTTCATGGGTGAGCTGTATACCGGGTAACTTCCATCTGGTTGCCAATTACAGGGCACATACACTTCACACATTTGAGTCCCGCACGTGTGAGACAGACATGGTACCCACTAAAACACTGTCCTGCCCAGAGATTCACCCATTTTGTTCAAATAAATAAATAAATACAATCAATGAAGTGGAAATGAAGCAATGAATTTGTTGATCGTCCCCATGATCAAATGTCCAGCCCTCATTGCAGAAGTATACCACCAGATTATATTGACATTTTGGCACATAGACAAGACATGCTTCAGCATAAGCAACTTCAGGAGCTGCTTTGAACTCAGTATTTCCCATCTTGCAATGGGCTGCGGTAAAGTTTTACTCAAGGTGTTCCAGGCTATTTGCTCTCTTCGTCTGGTAATAATGCAGATTTAAATTGGCAATTGAGGTCTTTATGGAAAAGCTCTGCGTGGTGAATTATCAATGAACAGTTTATGAAATAGGCACAAAGACAGCAAGGTCAAGCATGAATATACATGCATCAAAACTGACAACGGGGCTAAAAATGATAGAATACCTAATCAAGGCGATGCATTGACCATATTTCCTACTTTGAGTTGGGAAAGCACCTAATTTATTTTGTCCTTGAAGTGCAAAGCCTTCCAAGGAAACTGAACAAATGGCATCACTGAACAGAGAAACTGCATTTTTTTCATTCGTTTGATGTATGACTAGTTAGTTGTTTTATTTTTGTGGAGCAACTTAATGCAAACATGACTCAGTGGATCCATCCGTTTTCTCCATCACTTGTCCTTATTACGGTCATGAGTAACTGGAGTCTATCCTAGAAGTAACCCTGGACTGTCAACCATTCACGCTCACACTGTCGGGCAAGTCTTCAATGAACCTAACACGCAGAGTTTGGACAATGCGTGAGGAAGCTAGTCTACCAGGGGGAAAAAAAACGCATAACCACAGCAAAAACATGCTAACTCCACGCAACAATGCCAAATACAGGTCCAAATCCCCATCTCCTGACAATGGGTACTGTTCAGAAATTCACTCTGACCCCCTTATATCACTCTGAGTGTGTGAGTTTGGAGAGGCACAGTGTGCGCTCCTCCCATTAATTTGCAAACACATCATGCATAAACCAGAAACTCATGCTCGAACTGTTTCCCGTGTACTTGCTGATGCACCATGTCACCAGTTGGAATGCAGAGAGCGCGCTCCGGCACACTGTTTTTTTGTGTACGCTGAATAACTGAACGGCACACACAACAACGACTGTGAATGTCCGAACGGTCGGCGTGAACCAGCAGGCAATCAGAGCATATTTCCAAACGCGCCCCTGAAGCAGACAGGTCACCTTGTCAGCCAATAAGACTGTCCCTGTCAAATGGTTCAACCTATTGTGGTAGGTGTAGAGCAGGGGTCGGCAATACAAAATGTTGAAAGAGCCATATCGGACCAAAAAACAAATATGTCTGGAGCTGCAAAAAATTAAAAGCCTTATATAAGCCTTACGATGAAGGCAAAACTTGCTGTATGTATCTATTAGCTATATTAGCCTACTATCAAAATGACTAAATTGGCTACAAATACACATTGAGCCTTCATGATTAAATTTTTTTTCCCCCCTGCAGTGCATCTGGAGAGCAGGGGTGCACAACCTTTTTTGACCAAAGATCTACTTTTCGATCAACCAACCTCCCGAGATTGACCCGTTATCGCACACACGGGCATACGCACGCACTTACACACGCGTGCCATCATGAGCAACAACCATCACGTCTGCGAAGATGAACGAGGCATGGGACGCACTTTTGCAGCGTGTTAACTATCGTAGCTCACGTGTAAAATGCTTCTCTCAGCCCTCTAGATTCCCATTCTTTGCCAGTACCCTCGGTGAATTGTACATGAAATGCTGTTTTTTTTGACAACAGCCACTTGCCTGGCATCCCGCTCTGCTAATAGAAACGTGTCACAGGCTATGTCGCAAATCCTCAAAAACAGAAATGTTGAAATTTAATATTTATTCTACACATTTTCACAGCACTGGAAAACTTTAAGAATGTTTGTGTCATGTTTGTCCTTCTCCAGAAACCATATTAAAACACAAAAATAAAATTACCTCCCCCATCTTTTTCCATTTTCAAACATTTTTGAAAAAGCTCCAGTGAGCCACTAGGACAGCGCTAAAGAGCCGCATGCGGCTCTGGAGCCACGGGTTGCTGACCCCCAGTGTAGTGGAACGTATTTTCCATATGTGTTAAAACCTGTTTCTCAAACTTTGGATGGGTCAACTTATTTTTAGTAAGGTCACCGGTAAAATATTTTACATGTATTGATCCCCCCCCCCCATTTTTTGCATTCTAAATTACAATAATTTTCAACCATCAACTGTTACAGAATAGTTTAGAATGTTTTTAAACAACCTTCCCAATGATAAGAGTATTTTTTTTTCAAAAATAAAAACATCGCTTTCGTTAAAATTCACCGTTCCAATTTGTCATGCAGAGCAGTGTTTCACAGCAGGAATGTCCGACAGAGAGGACACCTCGGGGACCACCTAGGTCACGCTGCAGAATCTATGTCTCCCGGTTGGTCTGAGACGGCCTCGGGATCCCTCGGAAGAGCTAGCCCAAGTGGCTGGGGAAAGAGAAATCCGAGCTTCTCTGCTTAGGCTGCTTCCCACGCAACCTGATCCCGGATAAGCGGAAGAACATGGATAGATGGAAGGAAGGCTATTAAGTTGAGTCTGCTTCATATTCTTCTGTTGCATATTGCAATTCCCCTTTGTCCCAGCAGAGATCACCACTGTTCAGCAAATGCAGAATGCCAAGAAAGACTTCCGAGGTAAGTTTGCTTTCCTGTCAGTGTTTTTTTTTGGTTTTAATTTTGCAAACACTTATGTTAGGTGAAAGAGTCTAAATTTGCCCACAGGTATGACGTGTGGCATAAGTTACTTGTGTTTTGTTTTTCGGAGATGGCTCTGTCCCTATGCCATGTGGGATTTACTGTAGTTTTTTTGTTTAGTTCCTTTTTTTTTAAGGTGTTTTTTTCTTTTTTACTGCCCCATGGATATGACAATCCAGTGAAGCATCGTGTTGATGGCAAAGCTGATTGAAGCACAATTACAACATAGCGTTGCTTTAACTACTCCATTTCCCCACAGGATTGCCTTCTAATCAGATGCCTAATGAGGAGATGGAGTGAGACTGGCAGTCTGTTAATGCACCTTCACTGCAGCAAAGTGTGTGCATCGTAAAAGTAAAATAAATAAAAAAAGAAAGAAAGAAAGAAAGAAAGAAAGAAAGAAAGAAAGACCAAGCTTCTTTTGTTGTTGTTGTTGTTTTTTGGTCAAAACACTGAGCAAATGACATCACTTAATCTGTAGTTGGAAATGTGCTACTCCTCATTTTCCGGCAATACAACACAAGCTGTTCCCCCGTTTATTTGCAATGTGACGCAGCCTGGCAAAAGAAGTGAGAAAACAAACAACTTACCTGGAGTCTCTGTATGGCCTCTTCTCTTTCCCTCTCTAGCTCCCCCACGTCAGTTTTCTTGCTCCGTAGACTGTGTATCTCCTGTAAACGGTTATACAAGAATGTCACATGGGATGCACCGTCACTGTTAATATTACCACAGACCGTCACTGTCTTTTTGTTCTTTTGCTTATAAAACAGATCATTTATCACACACTACGGCACTTTAAAGTTAGGCTCAATGGGATTATGCATCTTGCTTATCTAATTTGACAGACATTGAAAAGCAACAACTTCAAGGGAATATTTCACTGTGATTTCACTGTCAGCGGTTGCCTATGTGAGGGCACAAGTGGTCCACTTCCATTTCTTTCCTCACTTGAGAAGTGTAGTACAGCTACTGATTGGCAACACATTTGTACTGCTGTAAAACATACAGCAGAATTTCCAGGGAAGTGTGATGTGAATTGGCGATATCAATGAAAATGCTCTGTACACCAGCGACATTTCAGTTATCATGTCTGCTAATTCTTTTTTTAAAAATAGTTTCTTTAAAAACTCTTTGCCACCTTTCTTGCTGTGAGTACATTTTACAGAGCATTACCTACGCTGAAAAGAGGGAAATAAATAATATGCATCAAGCATTAAAAGCTGTGCCGTACCAGTCACATGCAGTGAGGTCCACGGCTGGTGAGGCACTGCTCCTCTGTCGTCGGATGAAAAAACATGAACCCAAAATAGAAGATTCGCCTATTCAAGTTTGACCTTCAATGAAAGATGTGTTTCAAAGAAGGTCCAGCTTGAATTTGTTTTGAAAGCTTTTAATCATGTTTCAATCGGTTACACACTATGATAGCAAAAAACAAACAAAGGAATATTTAACATAAACTCAAGTCAATTTTCGTTGTCTTTAAAAAAGGCATTTGGTCTTCCCTTTATTTTCAATATGTTATAAATGCCCCGATGATAAATTTACCTGCCAGCAATATGCTGGCAGCCGCATGCTCATTTCTGGTCTCCAACATGCACTTTGAGTTGCTTTTCTGGCAGTAAGAGAATACATACTGTATGTCACACACATTCTTCAAAGGGATTGTGTGTAAAAATGTGTTGACTCTTTTCAGTGTTCAGTATTTCCAAAACCCACTATAAATTTCAATAATCAGGAAAAAAAAAGTTGTATCACACCAACATATTTTTTTTTATGTAACTAGATGAAGTAATCATTAATTATATTCGATATGGCGCGCCTCCCCTACAGGAAGCTGCCATGTTTCGCTGTCATCTTTCTGCTATGGATACCCAAAGGAGAAAAACATAACAAACATAGCTCCTCAACATCATGACTACAACATGTCATTTGGGATGACATTTTGCTTGCACCTCTACTGAAGAAATTGGTGGTAAGTTTTGCAAAGTATGGTCTCTCCAAGGCACCGTAGTGCGGTGCTTCAAAATACATGCGCTTCGAGTTTTGGTTGTTGCATTCTATTAGTTCTCTACTGAATGACCCCGATTTCTATACACTGTACCTTTAAATACGTTGGACTGTTGAATGCCAACATGCAGCAGTAGTGTGATCAAGCATGTTTATTGACAACAGAAAGAAACAACAACCTCTCTTTGTGTGAGTGCTTGCGGCAACTGCCGGCAATGAATGGGTGCTTGGTAATTGGAGGCACGTAACCTACAATGCTGAAGTTCACTTCCTGCCCATGTATTTGAACAGGAAATGCCCGTGTTCAGCATCGATAATTATTGAATTGAAAAAGCAAATCAATGTAAAGCACACAGTCCAATTTCACACAAACTTGTACTTCCAATTTACTCTCATAACATTACTGTTCACCTTATTTTTAATCACAATAGAGTATAATCTACAAACAATACTACTGATTTATGACCTTGTTAAATGCAACCAGTGTGGAACAAGCTTGCTCGTCACCCAATAATTTGCTTTTGTTCAACTTCCATTTGAATTTAGGTCGTTTGGACGTATCGCATTCATCATCTGTCTTGTCACTCTCTCAACTATGACGATTCCGTTCAGTGAGGCGGCATTATATCAGTCAAGGCAGACGTAAGCCATTTCAGAAGTATCTGTTGGCGTAGTCTGAGTGTGTGCACATTATTTGTGTCTCCTTGTTGCTCCAAACACAATTTAAGTTCTGCTGCCGCGAGGAGGGAGAGCACCTTGCACGAGGACACGTGCCTGTTTGTGGCCCTTTCCTGTCACTCTGACCGCTATACGCCCACCGAAAAAAAATAATTAGTGAAAATTACTGTTACTGTTCCATTTGACAAGATATTTATGGATCTGAATTATTTGGTCACTTTGTGAGCTAAAAAAATAAATAAATAAAAAATCAGAAGATGCTCCAAGCATCTGAAAATCACGTGCTTGGCCCTGATTTCCAATCATGTGATTGGATTGGGACATCCTTGTACATGCACATGGTTTTCATCGTCATCATAACAGTAACTAACTGTGACGTGGTCCCTGATGAAAATTAATTTGACACTCCTAATCATAATCAGAAAAGAATACAGTAGTCAGAAATTGGTGAGATATTGCCTGCATGTTGTTACTCTTCTCATTATTCTGATCAAGTCCATCACATTATCTAAGCAAGGTCTTGAAACATGCAGATGCAGCTAAATTATCTCCAGTATCATCTTTCTTGTTGTCGTGTTTAGTAACTCGCTATCTCGCAGACCTCCTGAGTTTCACTTCAGCAATACATCAACATCTCAAAAAATTATATCTGCTTGGAACGTTCACAATTCAAGTCAAATTTGAATAACGAACGCATATGGATCTGCATGCTACACAGTGGGAGGTTTGTGTCTAATAAATTACCTGGTCTTTGGCACTAAGCAAGGCTTCCAGCTCCTCCAGTGAGCGGCTAAGCTCCTCCTTATCAGTGTGAGCAGCAGCAGCAGGATGGCCAAGCTGTGCCTCCAATTCTGACACCTATAACACAATGCTCTGATAATTAATAGAACAACACATTTCATTGCTGGGACATTGTACAAAATGGCAAGGGTCCACAAGCTACTGTATATATTGCTGGCGTATTATTTACTGATTACTTGCTCTTTTCACAAGTTGTCACAGAGCGTCAAGTCGACCCGAGGGTTAAAAGTAGTTTCAATTTTGCAGCATTTTTCATCAACCTTATGCACTTCAGTAAAATAAGTCACCTAATTACTTTGTAGGTGGGTGAGATCTTTTTTCCCCCCCAAACATGGCTCAGTTTAACCTTTTAAGCTGCTGTGTCATATGTCAGCAATATAAAAATAAACACAGAACAACTCGAATAACACTTTATATATGAATTTTCCTTTTGTTAACATGGAAGTCTTGAGTAAATCTGATTACAAATGCGAAGGTGATGGTGAAAAGAACGTCATCCAATCTGTGATTGTTTTGTTATGGTGATTATCCAATGAGGGGCTTTGAGAAGGTTAAGCAGCCTTAATGATCGGTATCATTCACAAATCCCACACGACTGCTCTCCTCTGGGAGAACAGCGGGTCACTCAATGGGTTCTACAACAATTTAAAAAATCACACACAGAAACTTAAAAAGATGATTATTAAGGTCACCAGCAGCCTGCCCACACACTTGCAGATACAGATCGTCTTCATCCAAAAGTAATTTTAATGGCTGAGAAAATCAAATGGTCACTTCTACAACATTCCTAGAACACACGATGGCCCATCACTGGTGAGATATTTTTAGAACATGTCCGCAGGCTACTGATATGGTCCTTGGGGGCTATCTGGTACCAGCGGACACCACACTGGTGACCTCTGATGTACATCATACTCCACATTGATACGATATATGAATTATGCAAATTCTCTTGATCCGTTTTGCCCCTCGTTGTCTGGACTGGCAGTAGTCACAGCAGTGAAACATCAGATGTGACACTGAGAACACTTATGTAAGCTGTTTTCCTTTTCTGACCCACTTTATTCTTTTTTTACATTCAAATAAATGAATAATATTTATTTTAGGCAGCGGTCAACATAAACAAGACAACCAAAGCATAATGTTTAAACTTAATTATGACTTAGCCTGAAAAAGTGAGAAGAAGAGAAATATTTTAATCCCTATTCTCATTATTATTAAGACAAACATTGTTAAATTTAGGGTATTTGGGTTATGTAGCTGCTTCTTGTAAGATTTACTCCTATTTTATAAACATCCATTCTCAAAAGACAAAAAAAGGTGAGCTATGATTATATTATTAAACAACTACCTTAAGTCAACTTCATGGTTCACAGTGCTTTACAGTTTTCCGTCACAGCTCAGTGCCTCCAAAGCTTTCACACCAATCGGAGCATTCAATTTCCATCTGAATGAAGTTTATTAATAATAAAAAAAGTGCCACATGACTATAATTTGAAAAAACAGTATCGAGTACTTGTTTACTTAGGGTTCAAATTAGCTTTAAATAACCATTCAATAAGCTCCCCGTTGTAAGCACTAATATATTGGCTTCTCCATAACCTTTATTACTTTCTCAGTATTACATTATGATTATGATCCCTCCCCCTCACCCCCTGCATGTTTCTGTGTCTAAATACATTCAAATATGACAAAGAAAGACAAATAACATAAACTTGATCGGCCATGTTTAACAAGAGCCGAATCTTGGCCTACAATTTACACTGTCTTCATCAATTCGGAGTTATGACAAAATCAATATGGAATTTCAAGTTCTGTTTTAATTAAAAAGATTGATCATTGCAGCCAAAACATTTGGTATTATGAAACAGTCAATCGAAGATATTGATAATGCTGTTTGTTTATTCGCTTTCTAAAGAAAATCGAGCTGTTACGTAGCTTTGCACAGCGGGTGGCAAAATGAGTGTGCAAAATTATTGTCAATTGTACAAAGCTGCCCAAGCAGCTTGCAAAGAGGAAAACAATTCAAAATCTGGGCATGACTCATGACTCATTTTGATTACGGGCACTGTGATGCATAAACTGCAGCCATCTATGTTACTGCTTGCTTCAATGCATAACGAATGAATACAAAAGTGTATGAAATGATAACACGTGTTTTTTTTTTCTTCATGGTAATACTCCAAATCCTAATCGAGCCTCAAAAAAGCCATGCAGGCCCACTTGTGTTTTCTGTACGTGACAGCGACAGTCACCCTAAAGCTCAATTTTTCTCTGAACTCTACATCTACGGTATATAAGGGATTCTCTGATCGCTATCAAAGTGACAGTCAACAAGGACAGTAGGAAAAAAAGCACAGAAAGCTAAACACGCTCAGCTGGCATTTTGTTCGGAACACCTTGTGATTTGTGTCAACATGGCGTGGAGCAGTTCCACATCACTGCAACCTAGAGCCACAATGAACATTGTTAAATGAATTTGTCCCTCACAGTCAAAATCTAGCATTCTTAACCTTTCAATGTTTTTTTTTTTTTTTAAAACAGCACCTACATTGAATCTCATTAAATTGTGCAGCAATCCATTTCATTCCAATACCATATAACAGATTGTACTGCATGCATATACAGTAAAATATACCCCTCATTTCTCCACAATACAATGAAAAATATGTGACAAGGGATTCTTAACGTTAATTTATCATGGTCCTCTAAGTGGGGCAAGGAGGGAAAGGAAGCTGGACAGTATAGGGTGTCAGCCCCTCCCCCCCACCAAACCCTGGAGGCCTGCTCTAGTTCCAGCCACCTGGTTGACTTTGCAGCATTGTGTGTGTTGATGTGTGTGTCTATTTGAGGGATAACCTTCAACTGGACTCCTCACTGATGGAAGAAACCGTAGTGTGGCATAAACAATGAGTGTTGTTTTTGCCAAAGGCCAGTTGTTGCATCACTCCATTTAGTCACCTTGACGATTTGACTTGACTTGCACATGTGCATTCCCCGTGGCAGGGGAAAAAATGCCAAACGGAAACAATAAATATCTGAATAAAAAATGCTTCCTTCGTTAATTTTCAACCTTATTGGTATATTATATGCCAAATGCGAAGATTTTTTTTTTTGTGCTCGTGCTAGTCAATAGCTCATGGAAATACGGGGAAAACATTTTTCGCACATAGCCTTCAAGTACATTCTAACATATCTGCAAGAACGCTCAAATGTATTTGTAAACATATTGAGTGCTGTCTATACATGACATTTAACTAAAAGTATATCGGTAGCATCTTAAAGCTTCTTCATGATTTTTTTGCAGCGGTGAAGTGACTGACAGAAGGTTGAATAAGTGGCATATTAATGTGAAACTATTCAGACTTTTAAGACACTATAATTAGAGCCATAGAGCTGCAAAGAATCGCCTGTGGGTTGGTCAACTCATGACCAGAATGTAAAGTGATTGAAGGGAAAATCAACAAACTGGGATTTTTTTGTTGTTGTTTTAAAATCTGATTGGCCCTTGCGTAATGTAGGCCCGTCCTATTCTGCGCAGGTGACCCCGTTGGTAAAGGTGCGCCTGAATGAGCATCCTTAGTTAGTTAGTTAGTTAGTTAAGAAACTTCATGCAATACTTTGCAGCCATCTTGTGGCATCTCTGGGCAATTATAAGCCTTTTGCGGGGTGGAGGTTAATGAAATGAGAGTTTTAAGTATTTGCGGCAGGACCACGAGGGGATTCCAGACATTCAGGTCCGAGTCACTTTCATATCAGGTGGCAGTCTAATGAAGGTTTGTAATTTGCCCACCTGCTCTCGGAGGCGATCTGTCTCCTCCTGGTACTCAGCCAACTGCTGCTTCCACTGCTCCACACTGCCGTTGGCTTCCTGCAGCGCTGCCACCAGCTTGGCGTTACTGTCCTGCAATGTGAAGAGTTCTGCCTCCAGGTTGATTTCACACATGGACCTAGGGGCAGAAATAGTGTGTTTTTGTTGAGAGCAGTCGCAGTCGCAGCCTTACACGTCCACATACGCACGCACAGGCGCACACATTTAAGTGTACATCCTGTAGCTGACGTCAAAATCCTTCATTCATTCGGTTATTTCAAGACAAAAGCCCGTCAACCTGTTTGTAAAGTGAATAATTGTATTCCCCTCCTTGTAGGTCAAGGGATATATCATCTAATTCAGCTACGAAACTAATTTCTGCATAAATTGGAGCATAGCGTGTCAGTGGGTAAAAAAGCTGACTGTTGTGACTTGACACCCAAACTAAATTGCAAAAAAAAACCCAATCTATTCTATAGCCACAAACTTACACTCATGACAATTACATGAATAAGGGAAATGGTGCACAAGTTATTCTTTTCTTTAACCCTTTCAGGGACAGCGGTTACTACAATGGACAGTTTATCATGTTACATCAGGTTACAGGGTGCATGATAGGGTTCATTTACTGTTGTAACGAATTATCAGAAGAGATCTTACAAGAAATATTATCGGAATAGCAAAATTTATTTTTGAACCAATCTGCTGTGTCTGTTGTAACATCAGAATCTCTCCTTTGGGAATAAATAAAGGATTATCTTATCTTGAATACTAGATGAAGCAACCTGACAAACTTGTGTTTCTGTCTTGTGCTACGCACACTGAGTATTTGTTTTATCCTATTATGTCATTCGTTCTGCTTTGAAACTGAAGGGCAAACAAAGTGCATTTGTGGTGTTTGAAATAAAAAAAAGCATTTTAAAATGTGCGCACACTGCTGCTCCAAGAGCTCAACTTTGATTGGACATAACGACAAGAAAATAAGTGTCATTAATGTTCATCTCACTTGAGTGACACATTATTATGTAATCTTGCACAAATGTATACATTTAAAACATCAATATGTTGTAATTGTATCTTAAAATGTCTTCAAAACCTCACTGGTATGGAATTAAGAGAATCATGTATTGGCCATGATGAGCCTGTTGTAGTATCACTTTCAGTATAACACAAAAGTTGGTGGACCAGCCTGGACACCTCTGATGTTTTATTTTTGCTAATATGCTACGGTTTATGTGTGCAGTACTTATTCACACTAAAATGATCAGAGCACAGAACACGGGAAATGTCTTTGGTGTTTATTTTCTGTTTATAGTGATACATATTTATTTTCTAGAGTGGCTTTAATGTAAAATTAGTAATTATATTTTAAAGCTGAAGGGAGAAGCAAGGAAAGAAATAGTTGGCGGCTCTTCTTGTTGTCTGTTTAAGATGGAGGAAATTTCATCTGCACATTTGACAATAAAGTTGTACTTGACTTGATAAAATACAGAAGTAAAACTTGTTTAAGCTAGCTCCTTAACCATATAGGGGACTGTAACAACTGAAGTGTTTATTGTCTACCTTTATTGAGAAATAAAAAGCCATGTACTGAATTGCATCAGTGGATCGTAGAGGAAAGTCACGATGGAAATGAAATGGTGTTAAAAGTCCGGATTTAGTGTGGGTATCAAACAAATCAGAGCGCTTTAAAACGCATTAAGTTACTTCTTTGCATAACTCATCAAATGTGGCTCATGAAGTTTTTTTTTTCCTTAATACAATACAGACCAGTGGGAGGGCCAAGGTACACAAAACAAACAAACAAACACAGGTTCAAAGTCATTTAAGAAAAATGGAGCTTCCCGCTATCTGCGCCAATCAAATGTCTGAAGCTTTTTCCGAAATACAAGGACAAAATCTCCTCCAGGCAAAGTTTTTGTTGTGGTTTTTTTTTCTTGAGTGGATCCCTCATTCAGTGTCTGCTCCACTTAAAAATGTGTTTACCGCCGTGTTACATCACTCTGTTGTGTGTCTTTTACTGTGTGCAATAATGTGTGTACAAGGAAAGGCTTCTGGAAGGTTTGTTGTACAGTCATCTGCTCAAGAAGTAACATTTTTACTTCTGAGCAGTGCATGCGTGATATGTGACCTCATAAATGTGCCACTGCAAAATCACTGACAATCAGGACTCTGAGTTCAGCCGTGTGAGTAAAGGTGGGCAAATAGTCCAACAAGTGCATAAAAAAACGTATGGCTGTGGAACTAGTCTCCTGTTGGAACCTGCATTAATCCACCTAATCAGGTTCTGGACACTTTCACTTTCTGCTCTCCACTCAGTCTAAGCCGCTTGAAATTGGCAAACAAAACTTGAGTACCAAATTGGCTTTCAGCTCATCTCTGGGTGCATAACCGCAAGAGTTGTTAAGTGACTTTTGATCACATGGCCACTGTTACAGTTCAGCAAAATTTGTTGAAGTGTGTTCATTCTCAGAATTATAATGGCTTAAAAGGTGTTTCATCCAGTTGAGAAGTGAGCACAAGTGCAGGATTAAATAGTTTCCCTTCAATTGCATGCTCTGTTAGTTACCTTATTAAGCAAAAAGGGCATGGCAAAATATTAGAAACATGACAAAATGACAGTGCAGCTGTACATCACAACAAATTACTGTACAAACAGTATTGAATAAATCAATACCTCTGGTAATGTCAAGCAAAATTCAGCAGTATTTTGGCTGCTACAGCTCTTGTATTGGGGATCATCTCAATTTGTTGAATGCATTTTTTTAATCAACATAACTAAATTCTTGAAATTGAGACCCTGAAGAAAATCTTGTCAAAGAGAAGATAAAAAAAAATGTCAATGTCATTACCCTTCAGACAACATCTTCTTGACTCTCTCCTTCTCCACTGTCAGCTCCACTTCTGCACTTTTACTGCGAAACAGCTTTTCCTCCCCCGGTCCATTAACTGTCAGCAGTGGCGGAGAATGACGGTCATCCGACAGCTCCTATGCCAACAAGAACCCGTAGAAATACACAAACTGTTTGCTTAGTAAGTCACCAAAATAAAAGTTTTATTAATGTTTTGTCCTGGAAAATGTGCCACACTGTCAAAAGGTTCTGGGTTTGATTCTTGTCTCCAACTTTCTTGAGTTACCTTGGCATGCTCTCCCTTGTGTGCTCGTGTGGAATGTGTCCTGGTACTGTGGCTTCTGCCCACATTCCAAAAACCATGCATGTTAGGTTAATTGAAGAGCCTTTATTGTCCATATATGTGAATGTGAATGGCTTTTTGTCCATTTGTGCTCTGCAATTGAGTGGCAACGAGAAAAATGAGAAACTACAAGGGACAATTTTTACCCACCCCCCCCCCCCCCACCCCCCAAGTCCACCTCCAGGGAATAAGCCCTCTACCGCCTATCCGAAAATGAGGTGCCCTAAACGGCTATACTCGGCTGAAGTGTCGGCCTCATTGCTGGAAGACTGGTGCTCTGAATTTTTCCAAAGTCCATCCATCCATTTTCTGCACTGTACTGAATCACAACAAACATTAACAAGTTTTTTAGGGGGGTGAATTTTAGTGTGTGATCTGACTAAGCAGACCCCCAAACAACTTTGGTAAGGAGCGTAACATAAAATATAAATGTTTGAATGCACTCGTCTTACGTTTATTAGAGAATTATACATTGATTACCACAGCACACTCATTGGCTCTCCTCAACTCAACTCAAGTGTATTTATAGAGCACTTTCAAACAGCCATCGCTGCATACAAAGTGCTGTACATGGAGCAATTCAACATATACAATAAACAGTCAAGCAAGTCGGTAATAAAGATGGTAGAAAGCACCGAACAGCAAAACAAAGAACAAATCTAAGTCATGCTGAGTCAAATGCCAAAGAATACAAGTGAATTTTGAGGCGGGTTTTGAAGATGGGCAGCGAGGAGGCTTGCCGAATGTTCAGTTGGGAGGTCATTCCAGAGAGAGGGACCAGCAACAGAAAAGGCTCGATCCCCTCTGAGCCTCCGTCTAGTTCTTGGTACTTCTAATAATGTCTGGTCCGCAGACCTGAGGCGCCGGGCAGGTGTGTAGGGGCGGATGAGCTCAGAGAGGTAAGGTGGCGCGAGGTCATTTAGAGATTTGAAAACAAACTCCACTGGACCTGCAATTTTCTCTCAGATATTTTATAACCCAAAACAGACTTTTTTTTTCCATCCAGCCATCCATTTTCTAATCCGCTGATGCTCATGAGGGTCGCGGCATGCTGGCACCTATCCCAGCTATCTTCGGGTAGTAGACGGGGTAACACCCTAAACTGGTTGTCAGCTAATCGCAATGAGTGCCCCCCCGCAGATTTTCCAGATGATGTAGATTTTATTTTTTTTTTTTGCACATTTCTAGACTCCCTGTCATTTCATTTCTTTTCCTTTCTGTGCAGAAACCAAGGTCAGGCATCAAATAACAGCTGAGGCATTACACTCCTGCACTAGAAAAGCCTTGTAATATTAATTTGAGCCGGTCTTTCCGTATTCCCCCAAGGAGGACGGTGTATAATCTAGTACTTTCCAGCACTGCCTGTCCATATGGAGGCATGTAATTAAACACAAAGCCCACACATGTAGAGGAGCATGGCATCCCACGAAAGGAAACTAAAAACAGAAAAATCAAAGCAAGCTATGAGTCCATCACTCTCCTATGCAAGTTTTAGTACATGAATGCTTCAACGTGATGATAGTCATATTCTTATTGGAACTCTGAACTTACAGTATGTTTCCGGTAAAAGAAAGTGAGTCCGTTGAATTTACAGAATACATGCACGTCATGACGCATGGTCAGGATGGTACCACCTCTGCCTTCATTTGAGCCAGGAAAAACCCTGCTATGGGTGTGAATATGTCTGAGTGGTTATTTATTTAAATGTGTACTGTGATTGGCAGGGGGTACCCTATCACCCAGTCAACTGGCATAGGCTCCATCTCACCACTAATGAGGACACGTGGGATACAGAAAATGGATGGATGGATGGATAGATGCTTTTTGCGATTTCACCCATAACAAATGATTTTTTTCATGTTGAACATTTTTAATATCATGCCATGAAAAGGAATGTGGTCATATCATTTCAAGACTACCTACTTCCCCATGATAAAGAAAAAAAAAATCAAGCCCCATCACCAACACCATAACAGATAAAAAAAAAAAAACAAAAAAAAAACAAGACAAACAAACGGAAAAGCCACATCAATGAAAACAAAATCTCCTAGGGAGTGGTAGTCATATTTGCACTTATACTGCCAGTGGTAACAAAGACTGTTCTCTTTGTGGAAACCACAAGCTGCATTATGAAGTTACATTTGCTCTCAAGTCAGATTTAGTCAGAGTGCAGATTAATTATTGAACAAGATCATCCATGCAACACAGAGATGAATAACTAAGAATAGCATAACATACCCGCCTTAATATTGCTTTAGGGATTGGTGTGACCTTTCACATACCTGAGACAGCTGACGGAGTGTCGACATCCCATGATGGATCAGTGAAAAGGAGAGAAAGGAGAAAATTGAAAACAGTCATGATGTGCTTGCTGGATGTGGAAGAACAGAAGTAAAAAAACGAAACAGATCCTCAAGCTGGCTAACTGGGAGATGATCCCAGGAAGTGTAGCACAGTCATAAATTTTATATATTATACATTTTTAAAGCTTTTTTGGAAAAACTAAAATCAATGAAATAAGAAAGCCAAAAAGACAGGCACAAGCATAAATGACGTCCAAATGAGTGTGTGTTTGTAGGTTTGTCGTCAAATGCAAAACTGAGTGAACAAACGGACTGGACACATTTTGGGAAAGAGGCTTTGCAACTCTGAGATCTTGGATATTTTAAATAAGACGTTGCTTTCCCGAGAGCTTTTATCGTGATGTGTCTGTGCTGCTGTTTTTCTAAGTACATGACACTATTTACTTATTTATTTGAGCCTCAGTCCATTTTGCTCTCTGAGCTTATCTAAAACTCTTGTCTCCACATTCTGAGCTTCATTGAGACCACAAGCCCCCATTACTTATTCATGGCTCCATGCATCAGTACATGCAAGGCTTCCCTTGAATCACCTGTGCCCCTCACGCCACAACACACTCTTTTCAAGCACGGTTTCAATGCCAAGATATTGTTTTAAAATATAGATGACTGGCATTTCGTTTCCCTTTCTGCCTGCATCTACATAGATGGGCTACTTTGTGTGATGAAGGTCCCAATTAGGAGGCAAACAAATGATTGATGCTTCTGCATCCAGCTGACATATACTTTTCTTCAGAGACAAAAGTATTGGGACACCTGCCACAATTGCATGATATGATAATGGAAGGAAATATGGAGTTGGTCATGTCTAAGGAATACCTCCTTCTTCTGAAGAGTCTGTCTCTTTTGCATATTCACACAAAACAATCCAGTCACCCGAGCCCAAACTTAAGTGGGACACATTAAATGCCCGTTGGGTGGTGGTGGGGGGAGGGGGTGGCTTGTGTACAGGGGGGTTGGGCAATTATTATGAATCCCCTACAGACAGCACTTATTTTGCGACATATATTTGGATATGATCACATAGCACCGTCGCTTCTAATCAAATCCTGAATTTCCACTACACGAGGAAACGTCATTTCCTCGTCTACCCAAGGAAGCGTCACTTCCTCGTGTAAGGAAGGCGAGAGGAGTCAAGTGGCGCATTCAAGTGCGCTCAGTTTGGTCGAGAACCGATTTTCGGTCGTAATCCGAGGCATAAAAAAATAGAAATTTTGGGTCGAAAACCAATTTGGTCGAGAACAGAGACGTTCGAAAACCGAGGTTTGACTGTATTATCAGACAACATTCTTCTTGAGTACGTCAATGCTGCAGCTGTATTGGATGTGGCAAAGTGAATCTATTTGTGAATATGCCTCGGTCAGTTGCAACTTGGAAATGTACCGTCAATCCACAACTCAGTGGATTAAAAATGAACCACAGCATTTGATTGCGTTATGTAATTTGAACTCAATTTTACGAATATTATTTGATGATTTTATGGCAAACACATGGCCACATCCAATATTGCAGATTCAATGACATATTGTAATGAACGGGCCACACGATTCAATGAGTGTGAGCAGCAGAAATGAAAAGAAAGTAAATCTTTATTTTAGATGCTCAAAGGCTTTGTCTCCCCCGTGGTTGCTTTCATAAAAATGATTCAATCGTCTCTTAAGTTGCCGACACGAATGTACTATTTTCCTCTTCAGTTGCCGAACTGTGACGTGCCAGTGAATGTCTAAATGTGTAACGTAGGAAAATAAATGTCACCTAGTGTGCGAAAACTGCGATCAACAGTCTGAAATGTATTCAGTAAAAATATAATTAATCAGAGCACTTGGTATTCGATAGAATTTTTCGCAAGCCGACACTCAAAATTGCCGCTGTATTATCGTATTTTTATTGTTAACTAAAACCCTTTGTCCCTGGGATTAACCTGCAAAAAATGCTCCTCAAAATTATTAGATTGCTCCTCAAATGAAGTCAGAGATTGGCAACATTTCCCTTCAAAGAAAAAAAGGTATTTTGAGCCTTAAAAACCAGAAGACAGGTGAGCCGTGATGTTCACAAGATGAGGATTGTGACATCACTTTCAGTATACGGCAGGTGACAATACTGGACAAAATTGCAGACATCTGAGAAGGATAAAAACAGGTGGATTTTTCTGCTTAATTTTTATTCCGGAACGCCATATTAATCAGAATGCCATGTTTAGACTAGTGGGGGCACACAGAACATTTCAATGAGAAGAACATTTCTCAATGACTTCCGCTTTAAGCAAAGAGTTGTCTAAAATGTCTGAGAAATAAATGAAGATAAAGAATTAAAATTCATTAAAATTACTTCTGACCTTTTTTGAACACTGCACCTTACTGCCTGCTGTCCTTAAATCGCAGAGGCTGCAGTGTACACATCTGCTCATGTAACAGACCATGTTAACGCTGGATGGAGTGGAAAACAAAATAAGGGAGCTTCACATGCTGTTCTACTTTTTGCCAGATGTTTTTTATTTTCAATGGTGCTTATACTTAGGTTCACAAGTGAGTTGGAGCTTATTCTAGCCGAGGTTGGGTAAGAGACCGGGTAAACGCTGCTCTGGTCATCAGCCAATCAGAACATAGATTTAAAAAGACAGAGTGAAATAAAAGTTACTAGGTTTAGTCATACAAAGGGACAACAATGACGTTTGTGTGTGCAGGTTTACAGTATCTAGAATGCACTCGCTGTTCCAGCCTACAGCAGCTCTTGTATGCCAAGCAGACATGCAAGGGCAGGAATTTCATTTCCCACTCACACTATTACAAAATACGGCATCTGTCCAAAGCTACTCTCCAGCTTTTTGAAAGAAAAGTAGAGTTTGATTCAAGCCTTGAATGCTGTGACTTGTTCTTTATCCTTCCAATGATGTTTGTATGCAGTCAACATTTGACTTCTGGCTATCCTTTCAATTATCTGCAAATATTTTGGATCACTTTATTCCATACACTTTAAAGCTAATACATAAGTACAATTAAGTTAAAACCATACAAATGACTTTTTCAAGTCTTTTAATTAATTACTTTTTAAAATGATACTTTGTTGTAATTAGAAGTGTTTTTCAAAGCCTCTCAATAAACTATGAGTCATTTTGACTTTAGCAGGAAAATTCTTGACACGGTCAGATTCTTATTTTTACGACTGTGATTATAGTCGGAAATGCTTTGGAGCAAAATTCTCTGAAACACCTCTCGGTGTGATGTAGTGCACAGTATATACGGTTACATGAATATATGTCCCTCATTAGACCTCATTAAATTGATTGCTTGTGGTTACCATGCTGTGGCTAGTTGAGGTACGAACACTTCTATTTCACTCTCTATCATCCTACAATGCTCATGATGCTTCTTATATGAGACTACAACTGAGTGCAGAATTGCATGTTCTATATGGTGGACTTGAAGTACAAATCGCAAACACACAAAAACAAGCAAATGCAAAATCTAAAGAATCACAAGGAAAAAACAAAAACACATTACAAAAGACGCAACATAAATGGAAATGAAAAATCTCCAAAACAACAAAATCAAATTGAATCACACCTCAATCAAACACACTGAAATGCAAAACTGCAAATGGGTGTTTATGTAAAATAACACAGAGCTGTCAAATGTTACAGAAATCTCAGAATGCTAACTCATTACACCCGTGTCCTGATTGTTTTGAATTTTAGGAAAAAAATTAAAATCATCAGAGTGGCCTCCGCGATGAGAGCGAGATTTCCCTCCACTCCCTCTGTGCAGGACTCATGAGGTGCAATAACCAATTCGGTCAGCAAAGAATTCAACTGTATAGATATGGACATAAGTGCCAGAGTTCCCTCTTGTCTGAGGCTGCTAATTCACCCAGAAAGCCGCCAAAGAAAATACTAAAATGTTCTCTTTTAAACACATATCAATACACCTAAGCTATGACGAGGCAACAGCATTCTCATAAACATCAGCTTGCATCAGCATTAATGATTCACCTGTGGAGCGGCGATGTTGAGAGCGGGGTTGGCCAGTTCATACCTCTCCTGGGATTTTTCTCTGGCAAGCCGGGCCGCCTCCTTTACCTCCTTAAATTGTTCTGCAAACTAAAGATGGACAAAGAGGTGACACAGCGATAAAGCCTGTCCGCATAAACCCCAAACTCACTGGTGCAATAAAAACACATAAATCATTGAGTCACCCTCAATCAGTTCTTCACAGCAGCAATTTTATTGAGGCAACTACAGTAGTGACAAAAAAACAAAAATATTTTGTTTTGCGGCTAACGTGTTTTTTCTACAGATTTAGACAGTTTACAAACAGACATTCTATTTACTCTTCAGAGAGAGTGACCCCTCACCAACAAGAGATATTTTTGCTGTATTTTGGCGGTCTAGGCACACTTCGGCAGCTTTTGCAGGACCCAGACAGTTTGTAAATTGTATTCTCATTCTTCAAAATATAGTACGATAGTAAAAAAATGTTGGAGTCACAATACAAGTGCATTTCTTTCACAGCCATGCACAACCAAGAAAACAACAAATGCACAACTTGGAGACCAACAGTATCACATAATAACAGCAAATCATTGAGCCAAGTCACCTATTTACGCGTACAAGCGGTTGACCTGAGGAGCTGACGCTTTTACAACTGCACACTGACAGTTAGTGATTCTAGAGTCGATCAATAGCCAATCACATCTTGCGCGTAACCCTGGCCCTAATGAAGGGTTTGGTGAATGTGCATATGAACTGGTTGGGTTCGGTGCCTCTAAGAAGGTTAGGAACAACTGGCCTAGGGCCTTTGGGCAGGTGGGCTCTTCCAACTGCATCCTCCCACTGTTTTCTTAATTTTCTTTTCATTAGGAAAGTTATTGAGATTTACCTCGCATTCTTTTTGATTGAAAACACCATCCCAAAGCTGCGCAGTGGTGCATTTTGACAGCTTTTCGCTGTTGCTAGTAGTAGTTCGCAATTGTTTTGCTCTGTGTGCCAGAGGGCAGCAGTTCAGGCAGCAACTATATCACATACTCTTGTTTCTTGTTTTATGTTGGGAGGGAAGAAATTTCATCTGTGCACATTTGACAATAAAGTTGTATCCAATCCAATCCAATCATCATCCCAGAACACGTTACGCACACAAAAACACGGCAGCCGCTATGTCTCAAATTATGTTAAAAACAAACAAGATTTTTTTTTTTTAACGTCTGAGAAATTATTATATATTTCTAACAACATGTTCTAATAGTAGACATCAGTGGTTGTATTTTGAAACCTGTTTGTTGTAATGGCCGGAGTTCCTTTTAAACACAGAAGCCATTTTTTCCTATTTGATCTGGTCAAACATGTCAGGATTAATCTGGACTGAGATTGATCATGTTCATCATCATTAACCTTTCCTTATCGATTTTGTTTACACATCAACTAATAAATAATGGTCCATTTTTTCATTGTTACCTGTTGCAGCTGCTGCTCAGTGGAGAAGCCTAGGCCATAAACGGTGTTGGCCCGGCTGTCAGCCCATTGGCCAAATTTCTGGGAGGTTTTGGTGAAGGTCATGTTAGGGGTGATGGTGCTGTTGATGATAGCCTACCGCCACGAAGAACAAAAGAACAAGGAATGTGAGTTTAGCAGTTCAGAAGTGTCAGTACAGTTGTACGAACCTCATTCATTGCGTAATGTTCACAAACCAAGATGTTTCCCGTGATCTGTTCTATCCCCAAAACAAAGATATATTCACCTTATTTTATTTTTGTCAGTGTTTGGTCAAAAATAATTACAGTATTGGACAATATTGGAATCAGTTAATACATACTTTAATATAAAGAAACACAGTCCCCATTATCAGATTTTGGCAAAGTTTGCTGATGGACTGATCATTTGAATCAGGTGTGTTGCAGGAGGGAGACATTTAAAACATCTGGATAGGGGCCCTTGAGGAGCGGACTTAGTCACCCCATATGTACACTGACACGCAGAACAATGAAATGCTATTTCACTAGAAGGTAGATTGTCCATAATTGTGTATGCACTGCTTGAGACAGTTTTGTTTGGTGACGTGCCGTGAAATTTCGGCTCAAAAAAAGGTATGGGAGACGGAATCGGAGTACCATCCCACAACCATCCGATATAAAGGCTAAGTGAAAAAGCTTATAAAAAAAATTATATATATGTTCACTAACTTTGTCAAGTGAACCATCTGATGTTGGGGATTAGTCTAGCAAAATGCCAGTTGCTTTAATCTGTCGCTAAAAGCTTTTCAAAGCAGAGTGAACAAGAGACGCAGAGCTTTAAACAGTGAAAGTGCAGATACAATTCTCAAGCGCCAGAAGTCATCTGCGGTAATGTAAACAAACTCAATGAAAGGTAGTCATGCATGAGTCAAAGCACTGTGCTGCTTATTACAGAGTTATCTGACCACTCTAGCAACACCCTGTGTGACTCTCACAGTATCTATGATGTCTTTGGAAGTGTGATCTGCACATGAGACATACAGATACTACTGATGGAATCTCACTCACTTTAGTCCCGCCCACACTGATGATGCGGTAGACATTGCGGCTGGCGTCATAGAAAAAGGACACAGTGACGGCATGCTTGCTGGCCGGCAGCCAATTGCGTTTTGTAGCCGGGTCGATCTGGAAAACGTGAGCTCGGGCGCTGAAGATGGGCTGCTCCCTTTAAAAAAACATAAATACTGGATGTTAATGGTTTAATTCAGTCAAAAGCCTTGACACGCAACAGTGGTCCAGTAGTTCGCGCGTCGACCTCACAGTGCAGAAGTACCGGGTTCAATTCCAGCTCCAGCGTCTCTAAGTGGAGTTTGCATGTTCTTCCCGGGCCTGTGTGGGTTTTCTCCAGGTGAAATGTATTATTATTAGTATTATTACTCTGGTTTCCTCCCACATTCCAAAAACATGCAAGGCAGGCTGATTGAACACTCTATATTGTCCCTACGTGTGAGTGTGAGCGTGGATGGTTGTTACTTTGTCTTTCAGCTACATTTTATGATTAATTATAACCACACTCTCTTATAAAATACGTATTCTGAATACAACTTTACAGCAGATAATGTGTTGCTTTATAGAATAATTGTACGGTATGAAATTCCACAAGATCAGAAAATTGTAAAAATGTAGTTTAAGAATAATAGGTTTGAGTGGTAAATAAAGTAGGGGTGCATCGATTGATTTGCCGGGATCAGCACAGATTTCCTTAATTTTGGGGGATTGGTGATCATCAGATTCCTAAAAATAAAACCAATTGTCGCTACAGATCTCATCACCCTCCGCAGAGGTCTGAAAACATTAGCCACAGTCCTCTTCAACTGTGAGATGACAAATAGGCTTTTCATTTTTATTTGAGAAAACTACTTCATATACAGTTAAAACAACCCATTTGTATTGTTTCAGAGGTATTGTTCAGCGTTTTACAATAAAACAAGATTGGAACATTGAAGAAGAAAAAAAAACAAAAATCAGGATCAACAAAAATCAGGATCGCCCATTCAGGCTGTTTCAAGATCGGGGAAAAGTGATCAGACATTAAAATTGTTTGCTGGCCCCCTAGAATGAAGCCAATATTATGGCCTATTCTCATTGCTCTATTTTGGAGAATAAACAGAAATTGCTATGAACCTTTCTAAGTGTTACATTACAAATACAGTACTGTTTTAAAAGTAGGCACAGCATGAGTAAATGCACTGTAACTGTATAGAAAAAAAATACCCATCCTTATTTGAACTGAGCTGAATTATGAGGTTATTCACACCGGTGTTTGTTTTTCCACAGTGGTTAATGTTAAATGTGTAAAAGCACTATACGGTATAATAATAGTGTAAAAAGTAAAAAAAAAATAAGATTCATGATGTGCATGAGCGACATAACATTTAAATAAGGATTTGTCCTTATGACAGGCTTTAAAGGGTGTTTTTTTGTTTAAAACAGTCATATGATACTTAACTTCTGTTCATACTTGAATGCCAATGAATAAGTTAAACATTTACTTGGAACATCTGTTCTCGATGTAAACGCTTTTTTGTATTGTTTGTAATGTAACAAATTACTCCAAAGACAGTATTATGCATCGCAATGAGATTTTTTTTTTTCTTTCTGAAAGGCAATTCAAAGTTCAAGTGACGTTACAGAATGGATTGTGATCAAACTGGGTGGCACCACTGTATCTTCTTAGTTAGGCGGACGGTGAAATATAGGGTAGTGAAGATGCATGAATGCATTATCTCACTGCTTTCATACCTCTATCATCCATGTAGGCAATGAGACACCCATATTGCACTATTCTGATGTTAATGAGGATAATATGGGCCACAAAAGCAAAAGAGAAGAAAAATTCCTTTATATGGGTCGGCAGTGGGTATATGAAGCATTGTTCCACGTGGATTTGCTTGAAATTACCCAACATTTGCATACAAACAATAGTCATTGTTGCTGAAGCTGCAATAACAGACAAAAGCAGCAGAGCCAAGATACCCCTGGGTGTAGTTTGCATCCACTGTTACACCAGATAGAGTTTTATGAGAAATTAATGAAACAAAGAGTTTGGTTAAAAATATAACAATACATAGCAACTTAATGCAACTTAACAGGCCAGAGTTGGCCTTTACAGATGAATTGGTAAGTGTTAAAAATTGAGTTCGATAAATGCTCCAAAGGATTGAAAAATGCATGCATGATGGCTGAAGTAACCATACAAACAGTGGTGGGCACACCAATCTGTCAATCATCATGCTGTCGTTATTTCAGGCAGGCCGAGCCTGTCTGAGTTGGCGGTGACAGCCAATCGGTGTTGAGGAAGTGTTTACCAGTACAAAAAGACACAAGCAAACAAACAAATAAATAAATACAACTGCTTTCACACATTGCAATGACATTGTCTAATATTGTTTTATTTCCTCAATCACCACACTTAGTGTGTGTGTGTGTGTGTGTGTGTGTGTGTGTGTGTTGCTTTTTATTTTATTTTTTTGGCTACGCGTCTGCTAGTGTAGCGCCTGCGTGTGACATCGTAGGTACATTCTTGACGCCGATTGGCTGTAAACAACCAGGGACAGAGTGAAATAATGATGCCATGCTGACTGGCGAAATGACATACCCATCCCTGCATAAAAGTGACTCTGAATTTTTAGGAAAAGTAAGTTAAAAAAAATGCTGTCTGTAGTTGCTGAGAGCAGGTTTTCCCTGCAAACTTCAGCTCGCAGATGGCAGGAATAAACATATGACTGAGTTGGTATGAAACCTGAAGGGACAACATTTTTGGCTGTAGATAAAGGATTTACAGAAGCAACAAAAGCGAGCTGAAGAGGGAAGACATGCAAGCTAATGAGCCAACAGCCAACTGGAATTCGTACTGTTATTTAAATATGGCTCACACTAATTAACTTCCCCTTTTGATAGGTTTTGTCTTTTGAGTCAGTACGTGTAAGTATACAGGTATATACAGGTAAGTGTAGAGAGAGAGAGAGAGAGAGAGAGAGAGAGAGAGAGAGAGAGAGAGAGAGAGAGAGAGAGAGAGAGAGACAGACAGACAGACAGACACACACACACAAATGTCACATGGCACACTGTTTACCGAAGTAAACACGGTCCCGCATGTAGGAGCTCATTTTATCATCTCATATCACCATATTAGCGAGGTGGGAGGATGTACATATCATTTGGGGAGGCAATGCTCCTCAAAGTCATTTAATGGAGTACTTCTGAAGATGGGGTCACGTCACTGCCGCGCAGATTTAATGAAGCATCTGTGTTGCTGAATTACTATCATCACCTCAAATGTCCACTTCACGCCTAATGTTTCAAGTGGGATTAAATTCAAATCAAATGTTCAAACAACAGATGTTCTCAAAACAACTTTGCAGATTCACGGACGATGTCAGGAGTCTTCTGATGTCTTCTGGACAGTTTGAAGTATCTTCTAGTCCCCCATCCGTCAGCTCAGGAGAGGAAAGCAGTGCACCATTAACACTGTGTATTGTGAAGATGGGGAGCAAATGACCTCAACGAGGGTCGTATGAGTTGGTGGAGGAAATACTCCGCCTAATTCCACTGAAATAATATGTCTTCCCCTGAGGAAGTGGAGTCAGGGGTCTCTTTGGCGGGCTCTCTAATCTCTGGTGTTGAGGTTACTGATGTGGTTAAAAAGCATAGCCACATGCATCATCAAGAGGATGATGGCGGTTACCTCACAGCGAGGTGACAAATAGAAAAGTCAGCCCGGGTTTTGAAAGGTTTATTGTTTATTTATATTTAGCTATTAATTGTTTATTCATTAAACACAGTGACTGAAGAAAGCTGTTTGGAGGGTAATGACTCTCATCATATTTTGTTTAAAAAAAAATATATATATATATATATATATATATATATATATATATAAATTGGTTTCTTTTTGAACGGGTGAACTTAGTTAAAAGTCTTGAATGGTGAACTACGATCTGAACTCGTTCCTTTGAGAATTTGTGAATTTAACAAACTAAAATGAAGTGGGCCGGTCTGAATAAAGCTGCTTCAATTATCTCATCATTTAAGTCATGTGACGCATTTTTCGACAATAACAGCAATGGTGTTATCGTGATTGAAAAGTAATCATGTGCAACTGGAAAAAGTAATACAGTTAGTAACGCGATTTATCTATCATGCCAAAGGATTAATTGATTAAGAGGTGTGCCCTACGATTACCTTCCATCAAAGCTACCAAGGAACAGTAGAAGAATTGGAGTGACAGCAGAAGTGACAAAGGCAGTGTTATCCCGAATTATCAAGGATGAAGCAAATTTAAAAAAACCATGAAAAGTGTTTTATTTTCCTCAGTAAAAGCAATTACCTGACTGAATTACCGACAAAAGAAAATAAGACAAACCAAATTAATTATCGTTCCAGCCAACGTGATTCAGACAAAAATCCCACTCTATCGTCCTCTTATCTTAATGAGAAGTTATGATTGACAGTTCATCAGTTCCCAGTCGTCACACCCAATCACATGGGGATGGAAATTCAGTCATTTATTTGGCTTGTCTTGTTACTGCTTCATGGAAAGCCTCTCAAGCTAATCAGCTCAGGAGGTTTGACGAAACAAGCAGATTCAAACGGGATTACCCCCCACCCCCACTCCACCTCCCCTGAGGTGAGGACGAGCAAACAGTGCACTGCAGCTCGACAGTCGCAGGAAACCCGTTTGATACGATAACCACAGTTTCACGTAGCAACACTTTGCAGCACATCTGATCCAACTGCCCTGAAATTGTGAAACGTTTTGCTTTCAGGAACTGTGAGTTTAATTCTGAATGGCAGGGTAGAAAGATACACTTGTGTTGAGCAACTTTGACACAAAGGGTAGCAAAACACAAAGAGGAGTGATGAGCCACAAAAGGTCTTAAAAAGTAATATCTTGAGGCAAATCTTTCATTTTCCATGTGTAAATTAGTAAGTATTGGCCCATGTTTTTTTTTTAACAAATACAATTGCATTCCTTACCGTTTTAATTTGCATGACATACGTATTCAAATGTATAATTTCACAGCCTTGCAACGTTCAAGTTCTGTGTTTATGTGATGCGAATTAGAAATGCAAATAGTTTCATACACTGCCGCGTATAATTACAAGTTATATAAAGAGGACGCGGCTTAGAAATTGGGAAATTGTAACTGTTTTTCAACTATG